TTTACATTTATCAAGTCAGAAAAGAATAAAAAATAATAATTTTCAGTGACATCTGTATAGCATGATTTTGAAGGTGTCCGTGGTACATATAGCCTTATAAAGTAACTTAAATTTACAGAAGAGAGTAGGAATGAATTTTGAAAACCACGTTCCTTTATACATTTCTTATCCTTTTGTTAAAAATTCATTCCTTCATTTATTCAATTATTTTAGACAGTAATAAACAGCTGTGCTAATGACTTTTGGTAGACAGCATACATGAAACATGAACTCTAAGTAAAGGAGCTTACCTTGTGACATTTAAAGATATTATGCTTCTAACAGGTCTGCTTTTTGGTCCAGGAGGAGGATGAAAAATCTGTCGTTCTTTATTAGTTGTGACAGCCTCGGATTTTTTAATTACATAAGAGTCAGCGGAATGGCTTGGGTAAGGATCAAATGTGCCTCCCTTCATGCCCCCTGACTGAAAAAAAAGAACTTTTTGAAGTGCCAATCTACAATATAACTGAGTTAATTACAATATTTTTCATGCAAAAGCAAGTAAGAATACTGAATTGCAGACTGCATCATATTATATAAAAACCAAAAACCAAATATTCCTTAAATTTGCAATGGAAACTTTAAGGAAAATTTTAGTCATTATTTTGATGAATTCTTAGTTTTAAATGTTCTTTCATACATCTGGATTTTGAGGAAAGGACCTTAAAAATGTGACAAAAAAGTAAAAGCTTAACTCACTAAAATGAGCTATGTCATGGCAAAAAAAAGGAATTCCTATGTCACTATTAGTTTACTAGTACACCTCCATGTCCAGTACTGGTGTAGGGGTTGTTACGTACAGCAGGGCCTGGACACTACTATCAATATGCTTTCTGACATATAGGACTGAATACAGAATTGGCTTTTCCTGAAACATTATGTCCACTAGTACTACAAAAGTGGCAAATTTTAGTTAAAAAACATGCAGAGACCTCATTAATTCTTTGCAATCCTCTAGTACAGCTAAAACCCACAGTCTGCTGAGGCTGCATTCCTGAAAAGTACAAGGGTAAGCAATTCAATCAACAATAAAGCAATTTTTCCCATAAGAATTTATATAACAGAGAGGGAAAGCATGCAGTAGCTTGGGAAGTACACGTGA